ATACAAACATATACCTACATGTATGATTTTAATTTAGGTCCCACACATGAGAAAAAAACATATAGTTACTTTTCTGAGTCTGGCTTATTTCTCTTAAGATAATCGTTTCCAGTTGCATCTATTTTTTTCCTGCGAGTGTCATGATTTCATTTCTTTGTTTTCCTTTACAATGCCAAATATTCTGTTTTGTGGAATTTCGCAGTGCATAAAGGTACCCCATTTTCTCTCTCCATTCATCCACTGACAGACATCTAGGTTGGTTATATTACCTGACTATTGTGACTACTGTGGGAATAAACATGATGTGCCAGTATCAATTAACTGACGTAAGCATCCTTTGAGTATATGCCCAGAAGTGATACAGCTGGGCCGTACTGTAGGTATAATTTCAGTTTCGAGGAACTTCTATGTTGATTTCCACAGTATTATTGCACAAGTTCACCTTCTCATCAACAGCAAATAAAGGTTCATCTTTTCCCACATCCTAGCTTCTCTATTTGCTTTTGACGCACAATCTTTCTATGTACCATAGGCTGGCCTTGAACTGGGGATCCTTCTACCTTAGTTACCAAGTGCTAGTGTGTTCATGACTGTATCTGTCTCTTACATCTTAAGAGAAGTGCAGATCATTCCCCAGAACCACATTTCTCAAACCAAATTTCAAGAAGCCTTGCTCCAAGCCCCTAAGTCCTGGGCTGTGGACAAAGGCTAAGGGACAGAACTAAGTCCATCCATCGCAGCTACACGTCGTCCTCTTACACAAGGTGTAAAGACAAGACATCACTCCGGGAAAACAGCCCTAAAACAGCTGGTCCTTAATCATTCAAACCATAAATTCATCGCTCTGGCTGCTGCATGTTGCTTAAATACAGTGACCCTGGTAGCCCAGGCCTGTAATCCCAGGTACTTTGGAGCTGAGACAGGACTGTAAATTCAAACCCATCCCATGCAACTAACTTAGTAAGATTTGTCTCAAATTAAAAGTTACTGAAGCTTGGCATGGCTGCACCACCATGGGAGGGTCCTCGAGTGACGTGACACATACCAGACGGAGATTCAACTCCAAAGTAAACAAATAAATGAAGTCCCCTAGGCCAGGCATGTTGGGTCACACCTGCAATCCCAGGGAGGTTCAGACACGATGATGAGTAGTTCAAGGCCATCCTCAACCTGAGCCACACGGCACAAAAATTCTAAAGTCATCCAATATCTCTGTCATTGAAACAAAATGTATCTTTTTTCACAAATCCAAATAATCACAGTGGTAAATGTTACACTAATAACAACAATGAAGTGAAACTGGAAATTAGCATGACCAGTACTAACCACCATTTAAACGGGTACTTTGCTGGGCATGCTCAGCTAGAAACACTTTGGGAGGTGACTCATTTAATCCACACAATGATGGCATAGGGCAAAGCTGTTATTACACCAGGCAGCTGACTCAGTAGCTTTCCCACAAGTAAAGGAGGTCCGCGTCTTGCCATCTGCGTCAAGTGACTCTGTTACATGATCCACAGGTTCCAGAACCAACGGCCGTGCACCCCCTACCAGATACTGACCAAAGCACTGTAAACTGAGGCGGAGTTATGTGCCAATCTGTGAGAAGCAAGGAAGATGGCCTAAGGTTCTTCTTACTGAAATCTGGGTTTCCATCATATACACTAAAGCAAGACCCCTCACGACCTGGCTTAAAGCAAAAGGGGGCAGTAATTTAAATGCCAAATGGAGAAACAAACACTGCATGAAGCGTGGAACAACAGGAGAAAGGTGACGCTGGCACAAGCAGATGTGTGGTCAAGGGCACAGCTCTTGAAGGTAACAGCAACTTAGCACGCACAAAGCCCAACGCTTGATCGTTACAAAACAAACAAGCATACATTAAAAAGCAGATGGGAAACTGCATCATCCCAAGATTTACAGTTAGGAAAAGGGGGAATAAGGGCTGAAAAGGACTTCTGAATGCTATCCTCACCTCACTATGCTAAGTACTTTCCAACCACTGCATTGAATTGTTTCTGAAGTGAATATTACTTTTATAAGAAAAGCCACAAATGTGCACACTTAAAGTATCATCTGAAACCACACATCTAAAAGTGTTCACATATTCAAATCGTAGGTCCACTTCACAGAACAGAAAACATAAAAGCCAGACTGAGTCATACGAAATAGGTTTCCCATCTCAACAACAGAATAGAGTTCCATTATGAAAGAATGTATCTTCTGATCCCTGAGCCGTTTCAACAGCCATAGAAAGGGCCTGCCATTCACCTTCTAGCTACTTGAATTAGCTACTAAAACAGTACCGGAAATAGTGAGTCTCCGGAAATAGTTAAAACTTCATGCCCACCAAGCCACTTACCCATCATTCTCCCCTTTCCTCATCATGAAAAGGGAGCGATCCAGATTATTAAGGGGAAACTGACAAATCAAAACCACATGAAAGGGAGGACCACTAACCCGGACAAGCCGTTTAGGCTTTGTTACTGTGTGGAAAAGATGTTAACAGCATCCTAAACTGCAAGGCCACACCTTGTAAACAGGTGAAAAGGGTCTCGGTATCAGCGCTATTACCTACACTCCGGCATTAAAAAAAAAAAAAAAAAAAAAAAAGTCTCCCACAAGATACGGATCATTCCATTCACCTGAAAGTCAGAAACACATTTGTACTATTTACATAATTTATATTTACATATAAATTATTTACATAGTTAGGATGGTTGCACAGCCGATTTTAATATTCGTATGCCTCGTTTACATTTAGTATATAACGATCTTGGAGAACACCTTTTTCCCCCTAATTACTTTTTGGTTCCTTTCACTCAAAATCCAACCCCTTAATTCCTACCCAAGTTCAGCACATAGCAAAAGTTGACCGAAACTCAAGTTCATTCTGGGTGCCAGCACATTGACGCTGGTTTTAAAGTGCTGTTTGCCAAACGTGGAATAAAAACCCTAAATGATACAAGATGGAGTTCAGATGTTTCTATTTGCCATTTAAAAAAGAAAAAAGAAATGGAGATTTGTTTTTTTTCTTGGTTTTGTTAACCTCTCCAACACAGTAGGAAAGGATGTGTTGCAAAACTAAGGACCATGGGTAACAAGGCCCGAAAAAACCACAGCCCTCGGCACCCGCGGCGTGGAGCTGTGCACTGGGCCGTCCCGCGCTGCGGGGGTTGCACCGGGCCGCGGGGACTGCAGGGGCTGCGAGGGTTGCACCGGGCTGCGGGGGCGGCACCCATCCGGGCGCAGGAGGGGAGGACCGACCGAGGGGCGTGGGTCTGCAGGGCAGCCCAGGAGGCGGAGCGGGACGGCGAGCACGCCGCACGGCGGAGGCCAGCCCCGGGGCGCGCACGGCGGCGCGCTCTCACCCGCGGCGGGGCGCTCCATGGTCGCGGCGCGGAGGCGGAGGAGGCGCTGGCCAGGGGGTCGCCGGGCGGCCAGGCCGGCGGAGGCGAGGAGCCCCGCGAGTCGCAGCATCCCCGGCACCCGGCGCTTCGGAAGGAGCCGGAAGGGGCCGAGCCGGCCCGGGCGCGGGTACCCGGATTGGAGCCCGGCGCGGGAGGCGGGGCGCTCCCCGGGCCGCCTGGGCTCCGACCTCTGGCCGCCCTCCCTGCTTTCCTGCGGCGCGGCCCTTCCCGTCCCACGCTTCGAGGGGCGAGACTGGGACCGGGAAAGCATTCCTTGGCCTGCTGTCTCTTGAGACCCCGTGTGTTTGCTTTAGCCTAGAGCTTTGGAAGCACAGTTCTGATTGCAAAATGTGTGGGAAGAGTGAAATGTACAAGAGCGAGGCCTTGTATGCCACCATAATGAGATGCTTTTATTTACTTTGCTTTACCAAAAAAAAAAAAAAAAAAAGCGCCAAATTGGGGCACAGACCAAAAATTTTAACAGCAGTTTTAATAGCTTAGAAGTAATCTAGAATAGTTAGTATCTAGTTAGTATAACAAAATCGTATTTTATTATGCTGAAGTCTTCACACAATGTTCACATTCTAAATTCCTAACTATTGTCCTAAGCCTATCTCCCCAAAGCTGCTCACCTGTGCGATGTTTCTTAGGTGAATGTCAGGTCCAGTTTCTAAGAGAAGTCTCTGATTCAAGGGTCAGGATCCTGGGGGGAGACCCTCAAGCCTCAGGGCGATCTAGGGGGGGGGACTTCTCTCCGACTGTCCAGAGCAGAGCATTGCTCTTGATCAGTGGGCATCACGGGGTTCAAAGCCTGCGTCTGGTTATCTTCAGTGAGTTCTGCTTATCAGGTGCAGCCTTGGGTGCGGCGGAGATCCTGACTAAGCTATTTCTACATGTCTAAAATACATTTTTTTAACCTATCATCATTACGCTGGGGGTACATAGCAAGGTCCAGGTCAGCTTGACCTACACAGTGAGACCCTGTCTTAAGAAACAAAACAAACAAACAAAAAAACAATAATTAAAAGTTGACATGAGGACTATATACTGGAAAAATTCAAAGGTGGTTACTGTGACCTCTAGCTCTCTGTTCTCTGTACTTGTAGCACTTACAAGCTGGTAGAGAGGAAATATGAAGAGTTCCCTACTTACTGTTTAAGGCCCCAGCCTCTTCTACTGAATCTGCATGTAAGACGGTCTTTTTAAAGGAGCAGACTATCTAATCTCAAAGAGCCAAAAATAATTGAGGCAGGACGATGTTCAAAGGCCAGCCTAGGATAGCTGGGCTAGGTAGGAAAGCGAATGTGCCGGTAAGATATAAGGATTACTTCGAGCTACAGACAGGGAAACACCTTTTTGTCCTTCCTTTTTCTGCCTGGAAGTAGAATACACATTCCTCTGTGTAAGGATTATTTTCCCCCATTTTAAAGGTATATTTATATGACTGGAGGGTAGGGACAACAGAGTGAAACTGAAAGATTAACACGCAAAAGAAGCCAGAGCCAGTTTGCAAAGAGTGGTGCGCCATCCCAACCCTCCCCGGGCTTTGTGTAACAGACCGTATCCCAGAAAAACCAACGCTGTACAAACCTGGGAGAGGTGGGTGCTGCACCTCATGTGTGATCCGATGCTTGTGGGCGGGAGGGCATCTTTCTTCGGCTCATGAGCCCACTCCTGTATCTCCCCTTTTAAAAAGGCAAAAGCAAAGCACTGTGTTTCTGGTTCTAACCCTTGTATCTGTTGTGCAATCCTTAGTCTTGGGACATAGCTTTCAGTGGAGGGACTGGAGCACCAACCCCGCCCCAAAACTTTTCACCTGCAATCTTATGTTGCCTGCACCATGATCTGGAGCAAAGGAGGCACAGAACTTGTGGGAGTGGCCAACAATGACTGGTCTAATCCCAGTCCCTCACCGCAAGAGGAAACCCTTACCAGACACTGCCTGTATAACCAGAAGCCAGATGCTGGATAGCCCAGAGACCTACAATAGGAAAAAACATAATAAAGTGATTCCTAATGATATTCTGCTACACTCACAGATCGGGGCTTAGCCAAATCATCGTCAGAGAGGCATACTCCGGCCGCTGATGGGAGCAGAGGCAGAGACCGACATCCATACATTATCTGAGAGCCTGGGTCTCTTCCCTTGGAGCTCCAGGGAACTCTGAGGGAGAGAAGGAGAAGAACTGGAGGAGCCAGAGTTGTCAAGGACACCAGGAGAACACAGCCCACACAGTCAACTGAGCAGGGCTCTTAGGGCCTCACAGAGGCTGAAGCAAAAATCACAGACCCTGTATGCACTAGGTTCTCTGCCTAGTTATGGTTGTGTTCTTGTGGAACTCCTAACAGTGGGAGTAGGAGTGTCTTTGGCTCTTTTACCTGCTCTTGGGACCCATTCCCTCCTACTGAGTTGCTTTGCCCAACCCTGATGTGAGAGTTTGTGCCTAGGCTCATTGTATCTTGTTATGCATGTTCGGTTGATATCAGTGGGAGGCCTGCTCTTTTCTGAAGGAAAACCAAGGAGTGAATCTGGGTGAGAGGGCAGGTAAGGGGAGAACTCGGAGGGTGGGGGGAGGAGAAACTTCAGTCTCCATGTAGTGAATTGAGAGAGAAAGAGAGAGTGTGTGAGAGCCTGGAATGGGTTCTCTGAACTCAGATGTTAAATTAACTTTTATTTGCCTGATTAACCTAGGCCTAGACCTGGAAGCCTCTAGCCTCCATACAATCTAATCTAGGCCTAGAATTGTAGGCCTGTTGAATAAGCTCATCCTCTCTGGCTCTTTCTGAATTCTGGCTGGATGGTTCAACTCAGCAGTTCTAGCTCAAATTCCTCTCTGAACTATTTTATTCAATCTGGCTTTTCTCTTGGCCTTTGAATTGCTCTGCTTGTCCTCAAACTAACTCTAGCAATCTGTTCTAATCTTCTGGTTCCTTCTCATTCTCTGGCTCGTTCTGCCTTCACCTGTGTCTAGCTTGTTCTCTCTTTAACCTCTCTCTGTAAAACTGCCTCCTCTCCTCTCTCATTCTCTGTGCTGCTCCCTTAAGTAGCTTCCCTTTCCTCTCCTTGTGAGAGTTGGGAATATCCTGTTATATCAAATCTTTCTCTGACTCATTAATTTGTCTGTCACTCAATTAGACATCACTTTCAAACATGAATGCTTCCTTCTACAAAGTAACGTTACCTTCATTGTTTGGGATGAAAGGCGTGTTACCACTATGCCTAGGCCTAAGCTTTTCTTTACCTGAAACATACTCTGTACCAGGCTGGTCTTGACATCAGAGATCTGCTTGCCTCTGTCTCCTGGGATTAAAGGCATGTGCCACCACTGCCCAATTCATCTGCATTCAGCCGGATCACACAGGCCTAGGAGGGCTTTGAATATGGTCTCTTTCCAGAGCAGCCATGTTCTGACTTAAAATTCCTCTACACTAAAATTCAAGGACATGCACTAGGCATGCTTTTCCTTTTCCTTTTCCCTGTTTTTCTGTTACTGGCCAAAGTCTAAGCATGCCCTCTGACCCTCTGGCTTTTCTCACTGTTTCTCTGACCCCCATACCTAAATTAATAAGCATGATTTCTTTCAACCTTCCTTTTCCAAGCAACTGCCAGGATTTACGGCTTGCCTGCCCTGGTGGTTTTTCTCTCAAACTCTGTGCTGGCTAGTCTTATGTCAGCTTGATACAAAAACTAGTTATCTGAAAGGAAGTAAAGGCATTTTCTTAATTAGTGATTGATGAAGAACAATAATGAAATGTAAGCCAGATAAACCTCTTTCCTCCAACTTGTTTTTGCTCGTGATGTTTTTCTGCAAACTCTAATTCTAAATTATTTTGTTAAACTAAGAATCCAAAAGGGTACCCTGGGTTGCCTGGTACTGTTGTATCCCCCCTACCAGGAAATGGAGACAAGGCTTCCCTGCATAACAAACTTTACTTACTGCTTTTATTTACCATATGTTTGTTGGTCACCTTCCCATAATTTGCCACTGCTACCTTCCTCCTCCAAGCCTAAACCCTCTTTTCTTTTGCCTAGTCGCTTCACACTTTATCGCTCTTTGTTATGTACTAAGGTCTGGATAATCCAAAAATGGTTATCTCACACCAGAAAGGCTAGAAACACTGGTTGCTCAGTCCACAAGTCGGCGTGTCTCCATCTGCTGCGGACTGCACTGAGGATTCCCAGCGAGGCACTGGGTTCAGCCCACCTTCCAAGACTAGAGTAGGTTCCTAATATGTCAGAGGAATCCAGCAATGGCAACAACAAAGCAAATGAACTTGCTGGGAAAGAGTGAAGGCGAGCCACCAAAGAGCAATAATAAATAAATCAAAAATGAAAACAACCTTCTTCCGTCTCTTATTTTGGGTTGCCACCTGAAGAGGAGGTTTACTTTTAGGGTGGGCTCCCACTCTTCAGATAATGTGATCAAGAAAATCCCTCGCTTGAACTGATGATTACAGATCTGACTGAAGGGGTTTGGCAGCCCCAAGGCGTATGTACAGGACACATCCAGATACCAAACTCTCAACGCAAAGGAGATTTATTACCTGGGATGGGAGAGGCAGGGGCCTGCCTCTGGATAGAACAAAGACAGACAACAAGCAGCGGGACAAACAGGCGGTTGTTTGTTTCTCTGTTTGCAGGAATGGGTTTTCAAGGAGAAAAACTCGAGTCTGTGCTAGGGTGGATTGGTAAGTCCTGACTGGACATATTAGCCAAGTAATGAATTTTGATTGTTGGGCTTTGGTGTTTAGTCTCAGGAATGAGTCAGTGGCCAAATAGGGGAATGGACCTTGGGAGCTATCTTTAGGAATGTAATTTAACAGTTTTTAGCAAGGGAGGGAGATGGTAAAGGGCAAAATCTGTTGGTGCCACGTTTGTCGTGTTTGGTCCCGTTAGAGAGCCTTTCATCAATCAAGTCAGCAACCAAGATCAACCATCTTGTGAACAGAAGTGGCAGCTCTGCTATTGAAGGGACCAGAGCTGCTGGGAATATGTGTGATTCCAAGAGAGGAGTGCCTGAACCCAACCCTTCCACCTGGGCTAGAGGTCTCCCCTTTCCTGCTTCAATACAGTTGTGCCTGCTCTGCCTCTTTTACATGGATACGGAGGTCACTCCGGGTATTTATTGAAGGAATGAATAAAATCTTCAGATCTGTTTGTTAACCACTCATGTCTATCAAAAATTAAATAAATAATTTCAGCAGCACACCCAAATAAGTTTCAAAAAGAAAGAGATGGAGGGAAGGTTAGGAGGAAAGGGGGAAGGGGAAAATGAAGGGCAGGAAGAAGGCAGGGAGGAAAGGACAGGACTTGAGCAATCTTAATGTTTTTAAGCAGCTTCAGCCTGAAGGTGAAAATTAGCCACCATTGGTACACACACACACACACACACACACACACACACACACACACACACAGTCTCTTGGGTCCTTCCGGTTATATCGCGGCCTCACTGAGCTCTCCTGATCCAGCTAACTCCAGGAGGCCCTTTCCTCTCACCAGACCTGCTGGCTCACAGGGCCTCTGTGGATTCTCCCAGTCTTCATGGGATGGCCCTTGGCAAATGAGACCAGTTCTTCCTGGTACATTGCGCTTTGCAGGGAGATTGGCAAAATCAAAGATATTATTTAGAACCTCTGTTGATTACTTACAGACTCTGTTGACATAGTAAGTTCCTTGAAACACGCTCAGCCTTTCTTCTCTCTGTAGGACAGTCAGTGTACGCTGTCAAGATGGCTGCCCTGGAAGGATTCAGTTCAGATTCCTACATGCTTCTTGAGGCAAGAACCACCTCCTACCTTCAGAGCTTGTCGCTAACTGGCTCATTCATCCCTACCAGACTCTAAGTACAGACAAGGGCCCTACTTCTGTTTTCAGTTGTAGCCCTTTCTCTGGGAACATCTACCAGAATAGTTGTTCTAACTCTTACTCTAGAAACTCGCCTGTCCTATACATAAACTACAGCTGTGAAAACTTTCAAAGGAGGGCAAACTCATGCCATTTTACAAGAGAAACATCAACACAAAAGCTCTTGGTAACCAAGGGTGACTCAGGATGACATTCCACTATGTTGGAGAGGAACCCTAAAACATGTTTTTTTTTTAAGATAATACCTACCATCACTCACTCCCAACCACACCCCCACACCATTTTTGTTGCTGAGGATTTAACCCAGGACTTCCTAGATCCTAATCACCTGGTCTACAACTAAGCTACACCACCAGCTCCTGTGCCTACCTAATATTAGTTTTTCAATAGCCACACAGCTGAGAAATATTAACTATTTCTGAGAAATATTAACTGATAGTATTAACTATTAGAATTTGAATTTTTGCCAGTAGGTGGTAGTGTATGCCTTTAATCCCAGCACTCGGGAGGCAGAGACAGGTGGATCTCTGTGAGTTCGAGGCCAACCTGGTCTACAGAGAAAGTTCTAAGACATCCAAAGCTTTACAAAGAAACCCTGTCTCAAAAACCCAAGAGAGAGAGAAACAGAGACAGAGATTTTGAACTTTTAAAAACTACTTTAAACTACTGTTTTTGTAAGAAACTTGTGTTGTTCTCTAGAAAAAAATATTTAAATGCAGAAAAATTTATAAAATAAAATAAACATTATCACCAGGCTAGAAATGAAGCTCTATGCTGGAGCAACTGACCTATATTTTTTGTTGTTGTTGTTTTGTTTTGTTTTCAAGACAGAGTTTCTCTGTGTAACCTTGGCTGTCCTGGATTCTCTTTGTAGACCAGGCT